CACACTTGTATTACCTTCAATACAGTGTAGAATGAGAAGCTACTGAATGCTCATTCCCTTGGGGATTATGACTTCATGCAAATTTAAACAGAATTTAGCAGGTCCCATATGGGCAAGGTAGTTATCATGATTTGCTGTCAAACTGGGAGGATGTATCTTTTGGAGCCCCACAGGGGTCTGTCCTAGGTCCAGTGCTTTTCAATATTTTCATTAATGACCTGGATAATGGAGTGGAGAGTATCCTTATATAATTTGCAGATAACTTCAAGATGGGAGGGGTTACATCCACTTTGGAGGACAGAATTAAAATTCAAAAGGATGTTGAAAAATTGAAGAAATGGTCTGAAATCAAGAAGATAAAATCTAAGAAAGACAAGTGCAAAGTACTACACTTAGAAAGAAAAGATTATAAGTACACCCACAAAATGGGAAATAAATGGTGAGATGGTAGTACTGATTAAAGGAATCTGGAGGTTATGGTGGATCACAAATTGAACATGAGTCAACAATGTGATGCATTTGTGAAAAAGAGTAGTATTCTGGGGTGTATTAACAGGAGTATTTGTATGGAAGACCCAGGAGGTAATTGACCCACTCTGCTTGGCACTGATGAGTCCTTAGCTGGAGTGCTGTGTCTAATTCTGAACATCACACTTTAGGAAAGATGTGGATAACTCAGAGCATCCAGCGAAGAGCAACAAAAATGATAAAAGGTTTAGAAAGCCTGATCTGTGAGGAAAGGTTAATAAAATTGGGCAGGCTTAGTCTTGAGAAAAGAAGACTGAGGACAGATCTGATAACAGCCTTTAAATGTGTTAAGGGCTTTTTTAAAAGAGGACTGTGGTCATTTGTTATCAGTGTCCACTGGAGATAGAACAAGAAATAATGGGCTTAATGTGCAACAAGGGAGATTTAGGTTAGATATTGGGAAAAACTTTCTAACTAGAAGGATAGTTAAGCTTGAAATAGGCTTCCAAAGCAGGTTGTAAAGGTTTTTAAGAACAGGTTGGACAAACACCTGTCAGGGATGGTCAAGGTTTACGTGGTCCTGCTTCAAGTGCTGGATTTGATGACTTCTGGATTTGATGACTTCTTCCAGCTCTAAATTTCTATGGCCCCTAGTTCTTATATTATGGGAAGAAGTAAATAACTTTTTCTTATTCACTTTTTCCACACCACTCATGATTTTATATACCTCCATCATATTCCCCCTTAGTCTCCTTTTTTTCCAAGCTGAAAAGTCCTAGCCAATTTAAGCTCTCCTCATATGGGACCCATTCCAAATCCCTAATCATTTTAGTTGCCCTTTTCTGAACCTTTTCTAATGCCAGTATATCTTTTCTGAGATGAGCGGATCACATCTCTACGCAGTATTCAAGATGTGGGCGTACCATGGATTTATATAAGGGCAATAAGATATTCTCTATCTTATTCTCTATCCCTTTTTTTAATGATTCCTAACATCCCTTTTCCTTTTTTTGAATGACGCTGCACACTGCGTGGACATCTTCAGAGAACTATCCACGATGACTCCAAGATCTCTTTCCTGATTAGTTGTAGCTAAATTGGCCCCCAGCATATTGTATGTATAGTTGGGGTTATTTTTTCCAATGTGCACTACTTTACATTTATCCACATTAAATTTCATCTGCCATTTTGTTGCCCAATCACTTAGTTTTGTGAGACAGTTCTTCACAGTCTGGTTTGGCCTTAACTATCTTGAGCAGTTTAGTATCATCTGCAAACTTTGCCACTTCACTGTTTACCCCTTTCTCCAGATCATTTATGAATAAGTTGAATAGAATTGGCCCTAGGACTGACCCTTGGGGCACATCACTAGTTACCCCTCTCCATTCTGAAAATTTACCATTTATTCCTACCCTTTGTTCCCTGTCTTTTAACCAGTTCTTAATCCATGAAAAGAGCTTCCTTCTTATCCCATGACAACTTAATTTACTGAAGAGCCTTTGGTGAGGGACCTTGTCAAAGGCTTTCTGATAAGATGGTAGAGTTCAGCTCAAACTTTCACATGAGGATTGGCTGCTCGTATGGTTCCCATCCCAGGACTGCTCAGCCCAGCTCCTCTTTCTATAGATCCAATCCCACCTTGCTTTGTGACCGGATAGAGTAAAATTGTTTCAGTGAATCAGATGAATCTAACCTTTTCTCAATAGGACCAACACCTGCTAACACCTGGGATGTTTCAAGCAAACACTGTCAGTCTGCTAGGGTACATCTGCACTGCAATAAAAAACCTGTGGCACCAAGTCTCAGAGCCTGGATCAATTGTTTCGGGCTTGGCCAGTGGGGCAAAAAATTATAGTGTAGATATTTGGGATCAGGCTGGAGCCTGGTTTCTGAGACCCTCCCAACTTGCTCGGTCTCAGAGCCTGGACTCCAGCATGAGCCTGAATGTCTACACTGCAATTTTAGGCCCTGTAGCCTGAGCCCTGCAAGCCCAGGTCAGCTGACAGAGACCAGCTGTGTCTATGCCATGGGTCTTTAATTGTAGTGTAGACTTACCCTTAGAGACATTCTAAGAGAGGAGGAGAAAGGACATACTTTTAGCTATACTTGGAATACATTGGACTAGATTAACTATTTGGATGTGGAGCAGTGAGGTTTGCTTACCTGTGTGTCTAATTAGGCAAGTCAAAACCACAATCCTTTTTCACAGAACTATTGAAACTAAAATTATGCCTATTCTTGGAGGATTTCTTGAAGCTTTAAATTTGCCAGGATATTTTCACTTGCAGTAGTTTTTATTTTGTTTAATTTTTACCATTAAAACTATTACTCTGTAGCTAAGACTCTATTAACTGCCATACTCAGCCCACACCAGAGCTTATTTACAGGCTAAAAACTTATACTCTGGTCTAAGGTCATTTAAAAAAAAATCATTTCAGAAATTGTAGGTTATACAGTTAGCAGTATCTAACTCTTGTGTCCTTAAATCACAAGCTATTTTCAATGGCACTGGCTTATGATAATGCTGGGTTCTACTGATAAAATCCATGTTAAAAAGAAAAGAAATTTCATTCTTCACAAGAGTGTTGTAACTAAAGGAAACAAATGCCATTGGAAAGTCTTAGGGTGTAGTCGACGTCCATGAATGAGGCAAGCTGAATTTGAACCAATGAGTGAGATCACTGAATGAGATCAGAGTTGTCAGAACAACTAGAAGCACCCTTATATCTTCTACCCAAAACCCTCCCCTGCCCTATACTCACCCCTGATTTTCAGGACTTGGCCATTAGATTCTGTGTCATATAAGTTGTATGGATTTTCAAAAGCCTGCCTATAATGTATGTAATTAAAAAAATGGGCCAATAATGGTGTTAAGAACTTGGATGTAAAAATAAGTCTGCTGCTGTGTCACATTAAAGGTAGTAGTAAGCAATTGCTATCCTGTACTCTCCCCAAAATCCTCTGTAGCAAAATGATTTTTAAAAACTCCAAGGACTCCTGTGAGATGGCTGTCTGTCCTGTAGGATCTCTGAAATAAATTTTAATAGCTACCTACACTGCTTCATTGAAAGATTCTTCTGAGGCTTTGGGCAAAGATTTAAACTGTAGCAGTTTCAGTGTAATATATAATAAACAGAAAATTATATTTTTAAACTTTTTTTTATACATTTTGTAAAAAAACAGACCCTGACTCTCTTTGTTGATTGCTCCCATTATAGGGAATACCCAAGTATGTTATGTTGGTTTAATTACGTTGTCAGCTCAGAAGAGAGGACAAATATTTCTGTGCTACATACATAAATAATTTAAACATTTCCAGATCTGTAACCCATTGATTTAATCTCCTAACATAAACTCAATAGGTTTACTGAACAAAAGTTTGGAGCCAGTTATGTTTCATGAAAATGCATGAATAAACAATTGGAAAAATTTAAATAAAATCCTGTTAATGTGCAGTTCTATTCTGAAACTATCTGTAAACATGGAATAGTGAGTTTCCATGTTTGTGTCTCAATGATTCCATTTCAAAGGCATTCAGTTTACAAGCAAAAAGTTCTATTCTATATAAATGTGTGATTTTTATGTATGATGTGAATATATATGAGACTATTTCCATGAGTGCAAAGAGTCCATATATTTAAATCTTGAATTGCATCTATTTGTTTGTTTTAATGTTAAGTGGTCTAATAAACCCACTCTGTGACCTACTGTAGCATTCAGTCATTATTCTTATTCTAGTCAAAGTCCGAACGTTTGGCTCTTTATTAAGAAAGCTTCACCTACATTGAGGAGGGACATTTTCTTTTTTTAAACTTTTTATTTAGTCGTTATTAACATACATGAACTTTCCACACAAGTATTAAGAAATCTTATTAATAACCTGTATTTGTTATCTTTAAAAGATCCCTTTGTGATTGGTCAAGTTCTTATCATTATCTGTGTATTTATTTTTTTCAGATTCCAAAAACCATATATTTTTAAAGTCTGCTTCATGTAAAACTGTCATGTTTTCCATTGAGAAGCATTCCTAGACTTGGTTTCTGTATACTACTAATATTGGGGGAATCTGAACAAGCTATCATGCATCTGGCTGCTAGTAATAATTGTGATATCAATGGGTCCTTCCCCAGGTCGATAACCTCCTTTGGGCTGTAACCTAATATTACTGAGTTCTGTGGGTAGTCTGTCTTTAGCTATCTTGAAATTTCTATTTGTTTCCCTCCCAAATACTATTTTCTTCTGTTATTCCCGCCATATGTGCAGAAAAGTCCTATTCCTTCACATCCTCTTCAGCATTTATGAATCCTTTTTTATATATATAGAAGGGTACCCTTTCATTAACAATATGGGAAGTCTAATTTCTAATTTGCTGTACATGTTCTGAACACGTTGCTTGGAATATCCACCATGTAAATTGTGAAAGATGAATAGACACAGAAGGAAACCATATTCTGTTAAACCTTTTCTACTTTATTTCAATACAGTTTTATGTTCTTATACAGCTTATTTACTATATTGCTTTTAATTGACAGAATCTGAAGAAGATTCAGGAAATGGACAAAGAAAAGAGTGATGAATCCAGCACAGACCTTGATGAGTTGAAAAATGCTGACTGGGTAGGGCTGTAGTCATTTACCATAATTTTCAATAGGTTATATTTTGATGTAAAAAATTAGATATTCTTAAGCTGCTTGCTTGTCACCTGCTTTCTGTAAAAAACAGTATTTAGGGTTTTTTGTTTCTGTAGTATGACTTGCTAATGACTCATAGAAAAAGTGGAAAATAAATGAAATCTAACACTGCCATCAGTGATTTACTGAATTACACTATGATTTTGGGATTTCTGTTAGTGACTAGAATAATCCACCAGATTTGTTTTCTAGTTTAAGATGGGTTTTGACCCATGTTTTCAAACCCACTGTACCACCTATCTACTTCATTGTTGTAAAAAATAAAATAAATTTAGTCTTATTTAGTTGGTTTAATGGTTCTCTGATGTGACGAGTGAGCTGTTTTTGCCTTAACTGCATTGGTACTCAGTAATAATGAGAGTACAGTAAATGTTCTGAAACCTTATTTGTCTCCTTTGACTCTTCAGGCTCGCTTTTGGGTACAGGTGATGCGAGATTTGCGGGATGGTGTTAAACTTAAGAAGGTTCAAGAGCGTCAGTATAACCCACTTCCAATAGAATATCAGCTCACACCCTATGAAATGCTAATGGATGACATTCGATCCAAACGCTATACATTAAGGAAGGTTATGGTGAGTTAAGAATACCGTTATGATAGATCTATACAGTCACCAATCACCATTACTTTCACTTTGTTTTTCAGAATTGTTACTTCAGTCATGTAATTAGCTATTCTTACATTGTTTTTACTGTATCCTAAATTTTGAATATTAATTAAGAAAAAATGGATCCATCAAAATGTTGTGCGCCTTGCTTTCAGATGACAAGGACAAAAAAATTTCAGGAGACAGGAAGCCGACATTTGATACACTTGAACAAACTGATTTTGTGTTGACTTGCTAGTAACACTAAAATTCAGGTTAACAGTCTTGCCGTACTTCCCAAGCAATATGAATTTTTTTAGTTGGCTCTTCATACTGTGGAGTACATTACTGACCAATCGTAACATAATTTTGTAAAGATATATATTACTTCAGAGCTCCTTGGCCATCATACTTTTCAAGGTGTGAAATGCATGAGAATGGCATCTCATACTGTCATAAAAGAGGAAAGCCAAAAGTATCTGCAAACTTCATCATAGGCACTTAAATTATTGAAGTAGGACAGTCCAATCTAAAGCTCAGGAATTATACCTTGCGGGAATGAATACCTTCCCTTGAAGTCTTCAGCTTTAATAAAGGCTCACAAGTTCTGATTTGGGCATGACTGTTTCAGCACAATGCAGTGTTCCTTTGGACTCAAGAGAACAAGCTGAGACATCGAGGCAAGCTTCCAAATATCAGTGAATTACTTCCCAGACACTCATGTACAACTTAGGAGTGACTGTCAGGAAGATGTACTTTCTGTATTAGGACCACCTACTCCTTGGTATGTCCTGGAATCTCTCAGACCTTCTATTGCAGCTGCTTCATATAATGGTTTTTTAAATGGTCATTATCATGCAATTAATAATGGACACCAGGAACTGAAGATTTCTTAACAGCGATGAGCACATTCAGAAATCCCTGTGTAAATGCATGGATTTGAATAGTGTCAATGCTCTCAGCACTGAGAACTGCCTTGAGATTTCATGGTTCGTTTTTGCCCACTGATTGCACTAAGACAAATGTTGTTGACTAGAGAGTGCTGGGAAATGATTTTATGCAACTTTGCAGGGGGTTAGGAGGTTCATTAGGATTTTAAGATTCTTGACAAAAACTCTCAAAATTTTCTTTGTGTTGAAAAAGCTATTTTCCCCACCCAAAAATATTTTGATGGAAGGCTTGTAACCAGCTCTGTTGTTGATACATCTTGTGCCTTGTTCTAGAATCACAGAATTTTGCACTGAGCTTGGATGGCTTCTGATTTTTTCCTGCCCCTATCTCACCCTACCCCCAATAGATTGGCACATAGAATAGAATAGAAATATCCACTCCTTATAATGGAATGTAGCCACACCCCCTTCCTCACACAAGAAGGCATTGTGATTATGAATGATAGTCTGGAACCAATTGACGTTACATGGTGCTTCATGTGTTTCAAAGTGATATGTGAACATTACCTCATCAGTCCCTACAGCTCTCCTGTGAGGTAGGCAAGTGTGTTGTTAGCCTTATTTTATAGATAGGGAAATAGAGTTATTCCTGATGTGACTGGTTGTGCTCATGTGAGTGTGACAGATGTAGGTTATAGGTTGTATCTTTGGGTCAGGATGGGCACCTCTCTCATCCCAGACATCCTTCCTTGGATATGGCCATTGCTGTAGAGCTGGTTTGGAGTTTAGGGTGTAGCTCTGTGTAGTCTTATGTAGTCTTCTGCAGGCAAAAAGCAGTCTGAATGAAAAAGGCCAACAAAATAATCCTGCAGCCCACAAAATGGTCAGCGCTTACCCCTCAAGGCAAAAGTTAAATAGTTTCTGTAAAGGGGGTCGAGGTTCCTAGCTCCCTGAAAGGTCTGAGGGGCCCAGGCTGAGTGTCCTGGCCTCTTAAAAAGGAAAGCAAAGCAAAGATAGTCATTGCATTTCCCCAGAGGGAGCAGGGGGCGTATGCTCTTCAGCAGCTTTCCTGCAATAGATGCTGCTGTTGAGACACTATGGTGATGAGGGCAATTTAAGTACATAAGTAGTAATGTTATCTATCTTATAGCTATGGTTCAGAGAGCTGTGTTACTTTTAATATCAACCACAGAGCAAAAGAAAAACAAAACCTGGAGGCCCTTTGCTTGTGACACAATACATGGATTCAGTACAGTAATTTTGTTTGACTAGGAGCCCTGAACGATATTCTAGTTCACCTTTTGCCAACATAGCCTCAAATTTGACTTCTGTCAAGTTAGTTCTCAAAAGATTTTCTTCGTGTGGTTGGTGTTGAAGGCACAGCTGCTCTTTCTGAAACCCAGATACTAACTATGTACTATATGCCTGCAGGCATCCATTTCAGTCCTGCTTCTTTCATCTATGAAAAATACTAGGCAGGTTGTCTAAAGCCACTTTTGGTCACATGGGCATAAAAGTGAATTAGGATTAGAATCTGCTGCAGGTACAAAATCTACTGGTTTATCTCTGAAACTGTTGCTAGCTTTGTCTGACTTCAACTTGCTGGTACCTCCATGCTAGAAAAATAACTTGTTTCTTATTATAAAGTTTCCACCTAGTAGTTTGTGTTTTGCTGCTGAGCATGCTCGAAGAATTTCTGTGCAGAAAATTGTATAATAATATGGATGCAGTTTGATAGGAAATGAAATTTACTGAAGCCTGAAGGGTTCACAGATCCTTACAAGTTCAGTTAGATCTCCTGAATACAGCATATTTTTGCTGTCTGTCATGGGTCATAGGTAAATATATATATAATATATATATATTCCCAATGGAGAAAGCTTTCATGTCTCTCTAGATGGGGAAGCAAAAACAAGAGTCCCAAATCTGAATGGAAAAGCAGCGAGGGGAAAAGAGATTATTTTTCTTTCTATCAGTCAAAACATACACATGGCAAAATTGTGATTTAAGCGAATTTAAACAATTGGAAGTCAATCGACTTAAGCTCCAAAATTGCTTTTGAAAATGGGTCTTCGTCAATCTAAATCACTTAGACCTTGCAATGCTGAGTTGAGCAATGCCTAAATACCTTTAAAAATAGGAGTGTTAATTCTGAATTAATGAATTTATCATCATAATTCCCTGTGAGGTGAGATGTTTGTATTATCCCCATTTTATACATGGAGAAATGAGGCATACAGATTAAAGCCAAATTTATCAGATGCGTCAATAATTTTGGGTGCCCTATTTGAGAAGACTAGGACCTGATTTTTCATAGTACTTAGCGTTTGATAGCACTTTATATGTTCAGAGCAGAACTCCCAATGACTCGAATTGCAGCTGTGACTGCTCAGCACTTCTGCAAATCAGAGCCTGGGTGTCTCCAGCAGGACACCCAGAAAATAAGGAACATGCAATTAATTGCTACCTGTGAAAAGTTTGGTTTATGTGTCTTGTCCAGTATCACATAGGAACTCTGTGGCAAAGGGAGAGAGAATGCTATTCTCTTTTGCGGCATTCAGTTGCCTTAATTGTGAGATCATTCTTTCTTTTCCTGCAGTTCCTGCCTCCTTTACCGCACATCTGACCACCTCAGTAAATGGGGCAGCACAGAGACAACAGCCTCCTTCACAATACAACCCTGAATCTTTCTCAGAGCACTGTCCTTCTTATGCACTCGGGGAGCAGGGGTCCTGTGGGGGAAAAGTAGTCTTTAACTACATGATCACTGTGACCAAGTGGGACTGTTCTTAATATGTCCTCTGAATACTGTAGGGGTGCCTCAGTTTCCCCTATGCATTTCTTAAGTATCTAGGTGGTGGGATAAGGGTGTATGATCGTTGCAGAGCCCTAGAGGGCAGGTGTGTGTAGGGCTCTGGACACCGAGAATAGCCAACACCCTGTTTCCTGGCAACTGATGTCCTGGCCCTTTCCCCCCTGCAAGGTGAGAGCTACAGGGTTGGAGAACAAAGGAATCAGATGACCTCCTGGCCCGGGAAAGGGACAAATCCCAGAGGAGGAGGGGCTGGAGAGAGTTTCAGTTTGGGGCTGGCTGGGGACGAGGAGTGAAGTGCAGACGTGGTTGTCTGGCTCACTGCTCCCTAAAATGGATCCAGCTCAGGGGTCCTGTTCTCTGTACCTACAAGCTCTGTTTTAGACCATGTTCCTGTCGTCTTATAAACCTGTTTTACTGGCTGGCTGAGAGTCACGTCTGATTGTGAAGTTGGGGTGCAGGACCCTCTGGCTTCCCCAGGACCCCGCCTGGGCGGACTCGCTGTGGGAAGCGCACGGAGGTGCAGAGGATGCTGAATGCTCCGAGGTCAGACCCAGGAAGATGGAAGCCGTGTAAGCTTTTTGCCCTGAAGACAGTCTGCTCACAGAAAGGAGACTTCACCAGAGTCCTGACTGACTTTGTAGGGAGCAGTTCCAGAGCATCGCCCGGGGAGTCCACGATAACCTTTAGCCAGTGACCTGGAAAAGTTCGAACCCACCAACATTCCTATGGATGCCCCAGCATCTCTCCCATTCCTTGGTAGGAGTTACACCAGGCCCTTCCAGTTTTACGCCCTTCCAATTTCACGCCCTCCCTTAGGTCAGGGGTGCTCGATGGCACTCACGTGCCTCATGTGGGAAGGTTTCTGCGGCCCGTGTCCTTTTGCCACCCCAAAATCCCCGGGGGTCCAACTGGAATCGGGTCTTCTCCCAGCGCTCCAGTCTGGAGGGTTGCAATTTGGGCTCTCTTGCTTAAGAGCCCCCCATCTTGACCTGGGCCACTCTCTGACCAGGTGTCTCTGTCCCCCACCATTCGGCATCAGCCCAGCACCCAGCCAGCACCCAGCCCTGTGTTTGAGGCGTCGGTGAACCCTGTAAAGGCCTTGGCAAAGTTGGGGTTTACCAGATTTACCGGGCCCTGGATTAGAGCCTCCTTCAGCGCAGAGAGAGCCCTCTGGCACTGCTCGGTCCAGACCAGCTGGTCTTGCTTCTCCTTCTTACATAGCTCAGTGATGGGGGCAGCTAGGGAGCTCAAGTGGGGTACAAGCCTCCAGTAGTACCCCACCA